CGGAGGCGTGCTCCGCGATCACGGAGAGGATGTGCTCGGTGCTAAGCGTGCTGTCCTTTGCGGCGTCCTCGGGCTCGATACAGACCATGGAGGTTTCCGGGGAGAGGCCGTGGTGTCTGATCTGCGTCTCGACGACGAACTGTCTCTATTTGTTAGTAATGGAGCTTGCTCATGACGAGGATATCTTACGTGATCGCTGGGAAAGGCCTTGCTTTCCAAGATGATCTTGTGCCGGCCGTCCTTTTGCGGCTTGTAGAAGGCCGACATCAGCAGATGGAGGTTGGCCGTGAGCGTCTGCATTACGGCGACCTCAGAAGCGTCGGCGCCAACGATGGGAGCCATCATCTTGGATGCCTTGGCATCAACGTCGAGCCATGTCGGAAGGGGCGAGTCGTCCAGCGGCTTGAAGTGGCCCTGGACGCCCCGTGTCGCCCATGTTGCGAGGTACTGCTGTATCCTCTCAGACGTGCGCTTGGGTTGCAGACCGAGAGAGTTGCCGCAGAGGTAGGTGCATTTCTGCTGCTTCTGCTCGGAGCTCTCATCTACAGGAGACAGGATGTTAGCCTCAATTTTCGTGATATATGGAGCTGGGAGAATGAGAGTGGAGAGTGTCGTCTGATTTGGGTTGGGAGAGACCTTTCTTTGCCAGGGTCGTGCTGGTGACCTCCTGCTTGGTCGGGATGACAAACTCATCCCGCATGTGCCGCAGGGCGTCTTTCTGATCCAGAGACTCTGCGTATGCTCTGCTGGAGGTGTCCATTGTCGGAGTGCCACTAAGTTGTACTGGCCACTGACTAACAGCTTCCTGGCTCGATGTTGAGTAAGTGTGAGGAGGCGGGGTGCGTGGACTCAGCAGCAGGGGGATGAAGCCGCAAAATGCGAGTTGAGTTGACGAAAGAGTTGGATGAGGCAGAATGGATGTGTCCCAGTTTGTATGACGATCACGAATCGCAAGCAAACGAAGCCTGATCTCCAGCTCAGGCACGTAATTTCAATCTTTAGTTCTGGTGTTCAGTTGGATCTGAGGAGTGAAGTCATGATGCGCCAGAGAAACCCCGAAAAGAATGAATATTCCCGCGCCGGGGCGCCGCACAGTCCAATGAGAGGTTGCACTGCAGCTGCTGCGGGGCTCCCGCGCGGGAGCATTAGTGCTGAACATAAGGTATCGGTAGAGACTCACACTGTTCCCTATGGATACAATGCGATTGATCAAAGTAAGGTACTTAAAGGGGAAGTGTCTGAAATTATCAAGAATATTTTCGAGCTCCTCAGTGTCCTTATTGGTGCCCGACGCTGCGAAGCACCGCCCGTTAAATCAGGCTGCTGCACCGCCCCAATGGGCAACTCTGCAGGCAGACTGCATGGCGACGCACTCGATGCATCATGCAGCTGTGAAAAGTCGGAGTTGATAAGAGTGTGCGATTCCGCCCCGGTGTGGACAATTTCTCAACTTCGTTCGACGCATCGCCACGCAAGCCCTTCCCAACCTTGACTTGCAGTAAAGAACATATTTTCATTTCCCACCAAAGATTCATACATCGAATAATATCATATTCTTGGGACATGGAAGCACTAGCCGCCGTGAGTTTAGCAGGCAATATACTGCAATTCTTACAGTTCTGCGCAGGCTTGGTCTCCGAAGGCAGGCAGATTTACAATTCCATAGAAGGTACCACGAAATATTTCAAGGACCTCGAAGACGTGTGTCGATATGTCAGCGAATTGAGCTCGGCTTTAATCCCGCCGGTGTCAGTCGATGATCTCGAAGCGATGCCAGCATCCGTGAAGCCATTGCAGGCCGAGATAAACATGGTTCGACTTGCGATACAGTGTAAAGAAACCTCAGACGAGCTAAATCAATGTTTATCGGCTGCACGTGTTGGCTCTACTGCTGGGAAAACGGAGTGTCTCAAGCAGTTGGTGAAGAACTTGATGGGGAACTCTTGGCTGAAGGCCCCGAAAAAGAAGATGGAAAGCTGTCGTTCGGATCTGATGATCCATTTAGCTGTCATCACTCAGTAGGCGGTTTCTCCTCAATGGTCTTGATACACACTGACAATATGCTTCCTTAGAAAGAAACAATCGGGACTGCTGGCGCATCTTGAGCAACTTCAAGGAGCCTAGCTGACTCTCGTCCACGACCACTCGGCGAAGCTCAATGAAATCGAATCTCTCGTACGAGATGTATCCTCTGAGGCACAGAAGATTGTGTCAAACAAAGACGATAGTCAGGTTCTACTCGAATCACTTTCTGCGCAGCTCAAGGCTATCTCATCGCTGTCGGAAAGACAGTGGATGTCTGAACACAGAGTTGTACACAGCTTGTATTATGAGTCTTTGAGCGTCCATCACGAAGCTATCCCTCCAGCACATTCTCAGACTCTCAATTGGATCTTGAGCAAAAACGTCAAATGTGGAAAAGACAATCAACATCCCAAAGTCACTCTAAATCAATGGCTTCGAGAAGGAGAAGGTATTTACTGGGTGCCAGGCAAACCCGGGTCTGGAAAGTCCACATTGATGAAATTCGTTGCCGACCACCCAGAAACACTAGCCAGTCTCAAAGAATGGGCTGGTCCTAGAGAGTGTGTTGTGGCCGCGTACTACTTTTGGAATGCTGGGACGCACCTACAGAAGACTATCGAGGGTCTTCTCAGGTCTCTTTTGTTTGATATATTTTCATCGCATCCAGAGCTTATCCCAGCGGCTGCACCACCTGATCGATTGGCTAGCATGAGTTCCAAAGGCGACAATCGACAACATCACGTCTACGGGGACGAGATTGATCCAACGTGGACAGTCAACGAAATGCTTTCGACTCTTCAAAAGCTGTCCAATATTGACACTAATATACCACGCTTTTGTCTGTTTGTGGATGGTCTCGATGAATACCACGGCGATCCCAAGGAGGTGGTTAGAATTCTCCAGACATTGGCCTGTGGCGAGAAGGTCAAGCTGAACTTCAAGCTGTGTGTTTCGAGTCGACCTTGGAATGTTTTCGAAGACTCGGTGGGGCTTCAAGAATCGCAGAAGCTATATCTGCACATGCTCACAAGAAACGACATCCACCAGTATATCTCCTCAACGTTGCAGCAGGACTACAGCTGGAAACTTGAGGCATCATCTGATGCTCGATACAACAATCTGATCGATCAAATTACCACTAAAGCTCAGGGAGTTTTCCTCTGCGTCGTACTCGTTGTTCGATCAGTGCTGGAAGGGCTGGGAAACAGCGATTCAATCCAATTGCTCGAGAAGCGGATCGAGCAAGTTCCCAGGGACTTGGGACCCTTTTTCCGGCACATCCTGCAGTCTATCGAACCGATCTATCACAAGCAGATGGCCTTGTATTTCCAGGTCGCACTCAATGCTACGCATCCTTTCACCTTGATGCATTACTCATTTTTGGATGATTGCGTCGAATATGACCATCCTGGCTTGGATGCTGCGATTAAGCCGATGGACGATCATGAAATATTCCGCCGGCATTTCTCTATGCGACGCAGGCTTAACGCCCGCTGCAAAGGACTCCTGGAAGACCACTTGAACCCCTCTGAGCAGAGAGCATACCTTTCTCATGGCGTGGAATTCCTGCATCGTACCGTTCGAGACTTTCTCAGAACCGAGGAAATGAGGAATTTCATCATGGACATACTGGACGACTTTCCTGCAGATACGATTGTTCTCATGGCCTACGTGTCGTTCATCAAGGCACTACCATCGGATGCACCGGCAGAAGCCTTCATCAAACAGGCAATGATCTATGCCGGCAGAGCAGAGAAAGAAAAGGCAAAGATTGCGGTCGAGTATGTTGATGAGCTTTCCAACATCGTGGATGTCCGTTCGAACGCTCCCGTGTCGCTGAGCATGGCTCGTCTCTCTGTCCAGAATTGCCTCTGTGTGTATGTATCCGAATGCATAAGCGCAGGACTAAGTGGGTTTGACGACCCATCCAAACTTCTGCAGCTGGCGATTGAGGCAAGTGCGTCCCCAGACCCAGGTCAAGTGGACCTTGGAGAAATGATCACCTTACTCTTGGCCCGTGGAGCCGTGTTTGATCAAGAGAAATGGGGATATCTTTTGCACCTTCTCGGCACAGCAATTGTAGGCAACGCTGATTTAAACGTGGCTCTTCGACATTTGGGTGTTCTGAAGCAGCTTCTTCCGCTAGCCAAAGATGTAAACTCATTCTACCTCAAGAGGCTCTCTTGGATCCCCTTGCTCGAGAATGTAATCAAGGCTGAGCTTGATCCGGCGTCTCGAAGCCTCATAGATGCCAGGTTAAGCATGATAAAAGCGCTTTTTACCCACGGGGCACAGCCGAATACCGCACATCGCCAATCCGCCAATCCCGTTTGGATATGGCTTTGCAACGCGGTGCGAGCTGCATATGTTGAGGGCAATAGGGGGACTGTGAGTAGCGGCGCTCCGAAAACGGCCCAACATGGGGTTACCCTACGCAACGAAATGATTGGGAGGATCATACAAATATTAGTTGAAGCCGGCGCCAACGTACAGCAACCAGGATCATTGACGACTGAAGAGATAGCCAAGGCGTTCCCTCCACGTATTGCAGGTCAAGTCAATGAGACAGTCAGACAGTATTTAAAGATAGGGAGGTGGAAGACTAATGTTCAACCGGTTTCATGGGAAACTTGGATCACAGGTTGGCTCTGGGCAAGGGGGGCTGGAAAATAGATACGTCATGTTTTCTTGGACCGTGATATGAATATCCTGGAAACGAACTGATGAGGTTCAGTTGCGACTAGTGACCATCTAATGCTTCTGTTCAAATGATGTGTGACCGACTTCCAACCTCACATTGCGATCATCAATCGCTGTAGAAATAAAGCATTTATTGAAGTGAATCCCGGTTAAAGCAGAAGAGAAAGTCAAGCATTCGACGACAACTCTTTATGAATAGTTCAACCTGCTCTTTGAAGCGCACCGGGTCGACCCAATTTCAAAACACCTGGTTATTATTTTAAGTAACATTCTTCTTAGTTGACAGCCTTCCACTCCTCCTCGACGGCCTTGGCCAAGGTCAACAACTGCTGCGTATCAGCCCAGGTATCACCGCAAGGCTTAAAGTCCGCAGCGCTCACACCCTGCCGCTGTCTTGCTGCCATGTTTTGCGCATCATGATGTGCCTGCGCAGCCGCCGCCGACCCGTGAGTCAAGTGTCCATACCCGACAGTCGCGTTGCCGAAGCGCTGGCCGTAGTCCGTCGCCGCGGCGGCCGACACGGACCCGCCGACACCCATGATGACAGCTTTCGTGTTGGCGTTGAGCTGCTGCATGAGATTAAGCGCGGCAGCCTGGCCCTGGAGGTTGACCGCATCAAGCATCTGCTGTTGCCGAACAGTCTGCTCCTGGCAGAGCTTGTCTATAGCCCTCTTGCGCTCGGAGACATCCTTGCGCCTGTAGAAGTACTGCGCAAAGTCGACAAAAGTGCCCTTCTTCAGCGACGCGGCTAGCTCGTTCCGCAGACGTCGGGATGTCCCGAGGTTGCACGTCAGCCCGTCCGGGAAGATCTCGTACGCCCGCGCCGTCTTGTCGTGGGACAGGTCGTACTCGAGCGCTGTGCCCTTGACCACGTCATCATTGCACTCCTCGCACATGTTGAGACTGATATGTTGCTCGTCGTCGCCAATGAGATAGAAGGCGTTGCCGAACCACTTGCGGCCGCTTCCCGACTTGAATGCCCGCTCGGAGCCGCCGCAAGGGGGCGGCCACGAAGCTACGAGTCCCGCCGCGCTCCGGAAACCCGCAAAGTCGTCGATTCTGTGCGAGTCGAAGCCTTGGTGCAGCCATCGCCGCAGAATGAGCCCGCGCCAGACCAGCGTATTCTCGAAATTGGCGCTGTCTGATGTGTCGGCGTCGTGATCTGATGGGTTCGAGAGAAAGCAGAACCGTATCACGCCGGGGGAAAGAGGACGGGCGATTGGTTTGAAGAGGTGGCTGGCTCCGAGCAGCTCTACCGTCGAGTTGTAACAGAAAGGGCAGACTTCGATCGAGGGATGCTCTGCCAAGCAATACCATAAGGAGTCGTCGTCTGCATTCTTTCCTAGCAAATCCTCCTCGTCGACACCCCTGAGTCCAACACAAGGTGGCAGCGTTCCCCTTCTCGAGATGCAACGGCGCCAGACCTCGTCGTCACCGCACCTGACGGCACACTGCATAGCAAACCGCGAAGCCACACCCCCAAGGTCACACGAAATGGTGCCGCGAAACTCCTCGTCGAGCCGGACGCGGCTGTTGAAGAACCGGTCCATAGTCGTGCCGTGGATGAAGTCCCAGTAGCACGCCTCGCAGAACACACCCGCCTTGCTCGGGTCGTGCGGCTCGTAACTGTAGTGCGGCGCAGAGGACTCCACGGGCCAGATGGGGTTGTTCTCTCCTGCACAGCCGATGGCAAGCCGGGATCGCGTGGCTTCTGCGAAACGGCCGAACGACATGCGCTGCGGGCCCGCGTCCAGCTCCCGCGAGAGCATCTTGAAGACGTGTCCGCGAATTCCGCGGACATCGCATCCCCATCCAGACATGGGCGCGGAGCGGTACAGCTCCCGCTCGAAGGGAGTACCGCGGAGGGATTGCTCGAAGCAGGTGCCGCATACGGCGAGCTGGTCGAGTGCTCTGGAAGTGTAGTATGGCGTCTCCTCGGTGACCGGCCCTGCCCCGGCACAGAGTCCGAGTTCGCAAATGGATTTGGCGAGATATACCAGAGAATCTATCATCGCCGAGCTTTCGTATGGTGGTTTCTGCTGTCCGCCAAACTGAGATATGACCGCTCGCAGGCGCGGCACGGTGGCGTATCGACACTCGAGCTGCTCAAAGGACTGCCTCGGTGTCTCGGGGTTTTTTGGTATTGCTTTCCCTCGTTGACGAAAACATGCAGAGAGCTGAGAGCTTCCTGTTGATGCAACTGCGCTAGCAAAGCAAGCGCTGCAGATAGCAAAGGCGTCAGGATCCGTCCGTTTCTTCCCTGGGGATGACTGATGTGCATTCAAAACCTCGTCCCTCAGAACGTAGAACGACGCGACTTCCAAAGACGCCATCTCGTACTTGGGACATGGTACAAGAGCGGTTGCGTTGGACGGAGGGGCTGCCGGCGATGGCAGATCTTGCTGGAGATAAGCTTGGCGCTGCTGATTCTGGGGTTGTGCTTGTGTAGCATCGCGGCTCTGGCCTGGACCGGGACCTAGGGCTTGAGACATTGCAGTCATATCAAACGTCTGACCTGGAGAAGAACTCTGTATCTGACCACGCCCAGGCTCCTGGGGCGTGTACTCTGCCTCTGGCTGCTGGAGCGCTGCGTGACCATTGTAGTTCAGCGGAGGCGGAGGAGCAGGAGCAGCGTGATATCCCTGATGCCCCTGATACCCGAGATCTGGTTGCGGCTGCGGCCGAGCGGTTGATGGTGGTGGCGGTGGTGCTTGGTAAGTGGCATTCTGTTGTGGTGGAGGAGCTGCCATGTATTGCGGATAGTGGCCAGGAGACATCGCTGGCTGTGCCTGGTTTGTAGGCTGTCCATGATGGTATGAATGTTGCGGCCCTCCGTAATGATACTGTGGTGGTCCAGCCTGGCTCACACCGTTTCCGGGGTTGCCATAATGGCAGTTGGGGTACGGATACGGCGGCTGGTGTTGATGGTTGGGGTATTGTGCTGTTGTCGTTGAATAGCTGTTTTGCTGCGGCTGGTGTTGCTGATATTGTGGCTGGGAATACTGATGCTGGCTCTGAAGCTGTTGTGGCAGGACCTGGGCCTCCTTGACTGCTCCCTTGACTTGGCTTTTGGCCTTTTTGAAGTATTCCATTCTGAGGATGTGTACCAGCTCGCAGATACGAGTGAGACCAGACCCATTCACTCCTGAAGGTGTAATAACAAGAATCTAACGGGGCAAGAGTAAACTTCAGAGAGAAATAATCAACAAGAACCACAATAAATCAGATCGACACAGGATAAAGAGGGGTTTTGAGCACGTTGATATCCACGACGTTTGACTCGTCGATAAGACAGAGGTCTTTGAGGTTCGAGGCCTGCGTGGCTTGAGCTGAGGGTTGGCCAACGCCACAACTCACTATCGAGCTTGGCACGTTCAGCTGGTCTTGGCACAACCACACGATGCTCTGATTTTTGAGAGCATGCATGGCCCATTGGTGTTCTTGGATCTCCATTTGCTTCTTATGTAGACGGAAGCAATGAATACGTTCTCTCTTTGATAGAGCTTTGGTTCATATCCCGGCTCTGGTAAACCTCATCCCCTCATGATCTCCAATCCTCAACAAGTCGAACATGCCGCCAACTTGATGTGTTCTTCCCATTCAGGTGTCCGCCTCGAGAACCGACCACTAGGTCGCAAGAGATTCTTCAGCCGAACTGCCGTATCCCAGCTTGGGACTTGATCTTGGATGTCTCCAGTCTTCGTCTGTCATCCACGTTGGGGTAGCCAAGGCTCTGCAGCGGCCACACTTGGTACTGCCTTTGGAATGCGGCTCGCTAATGTCAGAGAAGTCCAGTTCGGTTGCTTCAAACGCGGCTCCGCGTTTGGAGAGTTGACCACTCCACCATTGGCAGTCATTGCCAACTTCGCACCTCGTCAGAAGCGATGCTCTTGGGACGAGGACCTTCTCGATCTCGCGCCATCCATTCTCTCGTCAATGTCACGCTGATCCAAATCACCATCATGATTGTACCAAGGAAATATCCGCGGGGTAAGAGTGACGTCCATGGCTCGGGGAACTGCTAGTTCATTCAGAAAGACGCTCTCAGACAAATCTCATGCGTTCCTCCGTGTCTTTCCAAACGTTGACGGTTCTGGTTGAGGGCGACTTCGAACGACACAAACCACGGGTGCCAGCATCAGAGCTTCGCGACGCGACCTGGAGATGGTGGGTGACTTCACCCTTCCCTCAGCAAAAGACTTCTCCCCCATGATTGCTCCCGCTGGAGAATGACCGCAGGGCGAGAACGCCGACCTACAGCCGCGATAGGCGTGAAGGAGGAGGGCATTGTCCGCGTCGGCCACAACAACGGGCTGCGCCAAGCGGGCGGCGCGCTTTGCCTGGCCATCAAGCGTCAAATCTGAGAGGGCATGAGGAGGGAAATGCTGGTGCTGATGCTGATGCTGATGCTGATGCTGATGCTGATGCTGATGCTGATGCTGACGCTGACCAGTAAGCGGCCAAGACCCATCAGCTGTTCCACCGGGAGACGACATGACGGGTTTGGGGAGAGTTGGAGATGGAAGTCCTGTGAATCTTCCAGGCCCTCTTTTTCTCCAAAAAAATCTTGCAGAGTGGGTTTGGGTTGGCAAAGTCTCCCCCAAGATCCACGATCCAGGTCGAAGTGTTTTTGTCTTTGTACCTGTTGTTGCTTGTCGTTGTTGGTACTTCGAGGTTTGTCACTCGGTACTTTGGGGCTTTGTACCTCATGTACCTGGCTTTGGAAACAACTTTCAAAACGCTGCCATGATTATTATTTTTGTATTATTTCTCAATCGGCATCGTGACAGCAAGAAAAAACTTTTTTACTCATCTCCAAATAACGTGCTTGAGCTAAAAGTCTCGAATTACGAAATATGGGCGTTTTCATTACCCCTTCAAAACCCCAGTATTACCCCCTCATTACCCCATAAACTGGCCACATGCGGGGTTGCTTGACTCGTCTCTTGGCTGGACGGTCCGCGAGTCTGGGGCACGGGGAAGCGAGTGGAGGAGTGTGGAGGGGTAATAAACGTCAGGTACGAGGGCGTTGCTTGGTAGTGCTGATGGCGGGGATGCCTCTAGGTGAAGGTACTTAGATTATGGTTGAATGCCATTTGAACAGTAGGAGGGGGAATGGGCATGTGACCTGCAGGAGGAGGATTGGTGGGAGGGAGGGGGAAAGGGAAGGTGACGACGGGGTGGGACGGGATGGATGGGATGGCCGGACGAAGAGGAGCCCGCTCCCGTCGAATGTTCGGGCGATCACGGCCTGCCGGCAAGGAGATTCTGGGGAAGACTGGACGCTGGATCCTCACACACTCCCGACCGAGCTGCCCTTCCGGGGACGGGCACGGTATCTCGCCCGCATCGGCCGGGCTGACCTGCAGATCCTGAAGCAAAGCTAGCTACCAGCCCGTAACGTGCCGTTTCGAGATTGGGCCGCGCCGGGGAGTGAGGGAACCTTTCACACCCTGTATCATCAATCAATTTGAACCATGGGATAAGGCAGTCTATGCCTTGTGTTTCCCAAAACAATGCGAGTCTCTGTTGTCGTCTTCGTCGCCTGTCGCAGGTCTCGGGGAGACAGGATCACGTCTTTTTTTGCGTCCCGTGTTTCTGCAACCTCGGAGAGGTGACGGGTGATGGGTGGTGGGCCGCAACTTGGAAGGCTTTCCCGAGCCCGGATGATCTGCGCACTTGGGGGGGTTTCTTTCTAGTCTCATGCACCTCCCGGGGGGTTGGGTGTGAGATGCTGCCCACCAGCCAAGGCGTTTCTTCGCACGCTCACCGTCACAACGGGATGACCAAACGTGTGGTCCGTCGGAGGGAGCTGGCTGGGCGGCTTGGGTCTTGCATCATCAATTTTGGTCCCGAGATGTGCTAAAGAAAGCAGAGTGTGTAGCAACTTCGGGTCCGCCTCAGTGTTGGGGACCACGTTTGGAGGCAGCAGTGGACTTTGGGACTTGATGTTGGGACAGTCTCAAGTGGGGAACTAGCCGTGGGACATGGAGGCTCTGCCTGTGTTGATTACTTGATATTTTCCGGGGTTGACGACGTTTGAATGCATTGGATCGGACAGTTCCAGGATGATGTGCGAAGTAAGGCGAGTCGAGCAGCTGGGCTCATCCGTCAAACGGCATGTCGATTGAGTTTGCAGAGGCCTCCTCGGGGGGCATTTGGACAACAGGCGTGAACGGCGTAAATGGCCTATTGGGTTACTCGATTTGGACGAGCCATTTTGGCCCGTTATCAAGCTGCAACTGCCGGGCGAGTGAGCGGTTTCTTTTGTCCCAGGAAACATGTTGCTCCCGCAAAGGTGAGCAGAGGTAAGTGACGGATCACAGAAGACCATTCCTCATCGGAACTGATGCGGCAGAGAGCGCCCGTTGGGATGCAGAAGACAAGAAGGAGGAGGCCTCACTTTCCCGTCTTGAAAACGAGAAGGCAATGGAAGATGGAAGGCAATGGTTGGGAGCGATTGGTGCATGGATACGCAATCCGGCGGCCGGCAGTAATGCGGACTACGATGCCGCAATTCCTGCAACGGCATTGCAACTCCTCAACCGAACTCGCCGCAGGGGGCGACTGGGGGAGGACACGTATGTTGTGACCACGGTCCAAAGTATCGTCAGTTTTTGTTTTTCTGTTTTTCGTAGGGATGCTTTGAGTCACTCTGGACAAAGACGGTGTGCGTGGAACCCCGGGACCCGGAACTCCCATACATACCCAGTGTCTCTCCATCGTGACCTGGAGCTGGAATGATGCCATGGCCCAACAACCCTGACAGTAGGAAATTAATTTGAGGCATCGTGACCTCGTTTCCATCAACATATGCTCCGGCATCAAGGGGAACGAGAAGAAACCGAGCAGAGTAAAAACCCGGGGGAGAGCAGAATGCACAAGTGACGATCTGAGTTTTTCCCGGCGCCCCCCTTGTGGCGGTGCAGGGGTCATCAGCCAGCGCCAGCCCGTTGTCTGCTTTCGGAACGGCGGTTGGGGTAAAAGTAGTAGCACCCAGCCAGTGGCGGCGGCGACGGCAGCAACGGGGGAAGCAATGTGCGAAGTTACATCACGGGAGCCGTCCACAGCTCAGCTCAGCTCAAGGTGAAGTATTCTAGAACCTGGAGCGAGCCCAGGCTTGTGCTCGGTAGGGGATGTATGTAGATCCCGTGTTTGTCAATCAGGTACGGTGAAGAGCCTGGCAGAAACAGGTGCTTTCATATTGCACCTACCTACCTTAGACTAGACACCCATTCGTGGTTGGCCTTGAGCTTTCCAAACGGGAGATCAAGCCGACGTTGTCTCTTCCATATCAAGTACCTTGTGGATTATGCGGGACAGAAACAACGAGAGTTGTCAAAGGTAGGGGGGGGGGGGGGGGGAGCAAGCCACCAACGCCGCGTACCCCATTGTTTTGTGTGTTGTATTGACTGTGTGCAATGGAATGCGAACACACACCAACTCGCCGAAGACGACATCCAAACTCCCATAACAACATCCACCATCGGTGATTAGTACGCAAGCCCGCAGGTGACGGCGGCGGCGGCGACACAACCCCGAGCATGTTCGTGGACAGTAAATTTTTCATTCTTTTTTGGACGAAACAAAAGGCCTTGCCAGAGCGCGTGACGAGGGGTCAGACACCGGCAGTGTTTTACAATGGCTTTTCCATTTGGTAATGGCGATGCGGGTTCGCGGGGACCTCGATGGTCGGGGCCCCGGCCGGCTGGGCCAGACTTCCATTGGTGCCGGTGCAAATATCTCCCATTCATCGCGCCTTCGCGGTACCTAGTTACTAGTACCACGGGGCCAAGAAACTGGGGAAGGGAAAAAGGGGATTTCGGGACTTCAAGAAAGAGAGCCTGGGTCAACTTGGTATCAATGCCTGCCTGCCTTACCCAGGTAGGGGCTTGTCATCCCAGAGTCGTCGTCCCCCAATGGGGCCAAGTCGGTCTGTCCCGTGGCCCCTCGAATGCTGCACGATCAAGTAATCTGGGGGTAATGGAAACTGGCATCCTACGCAAACGCTTCATCAACAAGTGCACGCCTCGTGGAGAGACCAACGCCGCCATGGTTAGGCGGGGTTTGTGGGGTCAGCCGCCGCGCTCCC